GGCCGCGAAGCCGTGGGCGGCGGCTGCCCTTGTCTTGTTTTCACCGGATTCTCTGAACCGGAGAACTACTTAAAAAATAGGAGATCAGTGTTCTTATTGACACAGCTTTTCTGTCCTTAAAAATTTCACAAGCACAGGGTTTTTTGTTTGGCTGGGTTGTTTTTTTTTCCAGAATTAAAGCGTTATCTCAAGATCTTTTTTGCATTGTAAGGCGTGTGTTTCTTGGGGACTTCCTGTGCCCAGTGAAACCTCGAGAAGACTCTGCTGTATCTTCTGGCTTTACTCGTTTTATAGCTGGAGTGTCAGGTAGTAGAATTAGGCTTACAGCAAATACGATTTTTCACCTTGACTTACCTCAAAGGCAGCTCGGAGAGGTGTCAGTGTTGGCTTCAAAACAGGCTGCTTTACGCGGGCAGTGCCCGTATTAAACCTGCTGTTGAGTAAAAGCTCACTTCAGAACTCAGTAGTAGTTCTGCTAGTTTTTTCTGTATGTTTTCTTCAGCAGAAAATACCATTCCTACCTTCTGGTGCCACCAAGTGGACATCTTTACTTGCCAATAAAAGCTTTCTTAAAATTATTTTGACAGTTATGCTCAACTCCCAAGGATGTTTATTGCTAAGTGCCACTTCTTCACATGCTGAAGTATTTTCTTCTGAACCAAATAAAATATTTCAAGCATAACAGCATGTATTGTTTTAATTGCCCACCTACATACCTTGTTGAAGAGTGCCATCTGACAGCAGCAGAACCCGACGTTCCTCATTATCCATGAGCAGAACGCGTGAAAAACCAGCGTGTGAATTAGGAGTTGAAAACTCAGTGCTCTGCTTACTCCTCAATTCTTTCTCCTCCATCAAAGGGACATGATGGACTGTGGAAAGTTGTGAGGATGGGCGAGCTCGTTAACATGATCAACACAACAGAATCCTTCTGATGTGGAGTTTTCCACATTTGCTGTATTAGACCACTCACCAAATCCTACGCGCACTAGAGCCTGACCTCAAAATTTGGAAACTGGCTTCTAGCATTTTGGAAATGACTGCAAGCCAGCAAATGGGGGAAGCCAAGATGTGATTAGGCCAGTTACATTCTGTAAATTTGCTACTTCTCCCAGTAGGTTCCCTCACTTGTGTTCCATGATGCAGCTCACGGGTGACCACAAGTGAACCGCCGGTACCGTGGTCAGCAGGACACAGCCTGGGCACGGGCAGAGCTTCCCGGCCAGATGGCACAGCTCACACTGCAAGATAGACATAGCCTCTTTTTTTTTTTTTAATATATCTTTAGTATTTTCCAAGTGTTGGCAGGAGTACTATTTTTTTTAATGTTTTCCACATCCCTTTCAACAACAAAATAATAATCTGGACTATTTTAAGAAACCTATTTGCGATGAGAAATGAAATTCCATTTGGAATGGTAAATATTTCAAGGAAAATGCCTATGAAACCAAATATTCTTGAAAATAAATCTAAATCTCAGCTAAACTAGAGCATCTTAAAAGAAGGGTGCTCATGGTAAACTCTATTTCCCACTTCTGTTTCAGGTGTCATTCCAGAGACCTGTGTCCTCGTTTCTGTATGAACGTTCCAAGTTTGTGTCACTTCACATCCTTACTGAGAGAACTACGAACACCCTCATGGAGACCGTGGATTTTGAGGAAGCAGCAGTTTCCTCTGCACAGAGTGCCCCTCCTTCAGGCAGCAGGGAAGAAGAGCTCTGCCAGTCTCCTTGGACTAACTGAGGCTGATTTAAGAGAACAGTTTGTAAGAGGCGATGGCCCAGGAGGCCAAGCCACAAATAAGACCAGCAACTGTGTTGTCTTGAAGCATATTCCATCTGGGATTGTAGTAAAGGTAATTATATTTCATTAAGTCAAAAATTGCATTGTCTTCCAAGTCTCCTCTCACAGTAAAGCATAATCACAGTGCCAGTGTCATGGAGGAAGAGTTTCCATGTAAAGACTCTAGGCAAGAAGCACTTTTGGTTATCATGGCTGCTCTTCCTGGCTTCAACACACAGTACTATTTTGTAGTTTTCAATAAAATCCATTGTAGCTGCCTTGCAGTGGCAGCTGTCACATTCCTGTCCCTCTGGGGAGTTAGAATGTCTTCCTTACCAACCTGATCATATTTGCTTTGCATAGCTTTTAAGCATTACTCTTACCTACTTCTTGTGGATTAATACTTCAAAATTAATCTCTGCTTCCTTCTCACAAGGGGAAGACACAGTTAAGTTAAACTCAGAAGCAGATTTCCAAGGTAATATGGAACAATCTTGTTTGCTGACAGAATAAAGATTAATGCAAAAGCCAGTCTGACAAGTTACAGTCGCAATTATTAGGCAGCCTGTCCAAAATGTATCATCTGGATACAGAAGTCGCAGCAGATCTTGGTGGGAGGCTGCTCTTGGTGTGGGGGAAGGGAGTTTCTGTACTGTAATGGCAGGAATATGTAGACTGAAAGGGAAAGCAGAAGAATAACCATGTTAAAGTTCCACTAAAAATGTTCTATTGGATTCCTTCAGTGTCATCAAACAAGATCAGTGGAGCAGAACCGAAAGATAGCCAGAGAAATCCTGCAGGAAAAGGTTGACCTTTTCTACAGAGGTGAAGACAGTGATGTTTTTAAAGAGAAGAAAGCATCAGAGAAGAAGAAGCAGGAGAAAAAAAGAAGGGCAAAGGAAAACCTAGAAAGGAAAAAGCTTTTTAAAGAGATGCAACAACTGGATAAGAAGTGAACGTGTGAAATACTGACTTGCCCAGTAGGGTAAGGGAAACGTTTGCCACTGTACCTAAACACAATTTTCAAAGTAACAGATGATGTGGAGCTTCATAAGCACAACTGAAATAGCGAGCAGTGACCTGCTATTGCTCTTAAGTCAAGGAGGGCATGTATCCCTGCTGCTGTCCGCCGTCATCTCATTGTTCACACATAGCCATCAGTTTTTCTGCCGAGTTCAGAAGATGATAAACCAGTCCTTGTTAAAAAGGAACAGTCAACTTTCCACCGTTGTTAATGGAACAACAAAAAGCAGTGCCTCTGCAGACACAGATCCTTCATAAGCAGTGACAGGGTTTAGGTGCTGGCTCTGATGGCATACACAGACGTGCTGACAGAAGAGACACCAGGCACTGGCTGCCTCCTTCAGCTCTGAACCGATGCTGTGTCCTACCCCACTGCAATGAAGTTAAACAGAAGCTTTACAAATCTTACCTGGAGATGAGCATGGGGGAAGGCACTCCTGCAAGTGAGGGTTGGGCAGTCATGTTCTTCCAGTTCAGAGGTGAAATTGGGTCATTACACTTGGGCGTTTTGGTATCTTCACTCATTTTGACAGTTTCCCATTTTATGTAAACACACGCAGATGCTTCTCCTTTGGAGCCACTAGTGACGTACACATTCCTATTTTGATTAGTTAAAACACTGCAATGAAGTTAAACAGAAGCTTTACAAATCTTACCTGGAGATGAGCATGGGGGAAGGCACTCCTGCAAGTGAGGGTTGGGCAGTCATGTTCTTCCAGTTCAGAGGTGAAATTGGGTCATTACACTTGGGCGTTTTGACAGTTTCCCATTTTATGTAAACACAAGCAGATGCTTCTCCTTTGGAGCCACTAGTTAAGTACACATTCCTATTCTGATCTAGTTAAAAACTCTTAATTCTTAACCAGAAATTCTCTTTAATTTCTGGACAGCATCCTCACTGGCTGCTGCCAGGCTCTCACCTTCAGCAGTGAAGGGAGCGAGCCTCAAGACCCGCAGCCATGGTACATGACTTGAAAGCAGTGGGAACTGAGAGCAACTACACAGCCCTGTCCCAGGGACTGATGGCAGCTGGACTGCACCAGGGATGGAAACTGCAGCAGCCTACACGCCCGCTCCCTTGGCTGCTCCTGGACTTGAGCCTCCTGCATGAAGGTGACGTTTCTGCCTGGCCAGGGTTCTTGTTCGTGGAGTATGAATCTGATTAAAGTGACTGTACATAGTTTTAATACAAACTGTTAATGAAAATAAGCTTTATTACATCAAGTAATAAATACATACAAAGATGCAAATAACAGTTTTAGTAATTTATCCAGAATTTTCTTTTTTTTTTTTTTTTTTTTTCAAACTTTAAACTGAAATCTCCAGCCTTAATGTAGAAATTAGCTTTCCAGGACCTTGTTATTATTTAATAGGTTTCCCTATTTGCCATATAACTCATGCACTTTAAATGGACTTCAAAGCACTAACAGTCATGCAAATGTTTATGTAAAACAAACAAAAAAAGGAAAAATAAGAGAAGGGGAAGGTTATTTCTAAGCAGGGTCTATGCTGTATGACAAACTGTGACTTAGCAGACTACTGGGTACAGCATGCTATTCTGCATTTATTAAAAAAAATCCTTAGCACTTATGTGAAACTCTGAAAGATCGACAGTTTGGGGTCAAGTGAATATAGTCAGAGGAACAGAACAGAATCAAACTGTGGCTGGATATGAAGAGAACTGAAACATGGGAGAGAAGGAGCATTCTTCTGCATGCAGTTTGGGTTTCATGTTTTAGAAACGTTTTAGGGAGTTTTAACGTCTTTACAAAATGCAAACCCTCGGTAAGTTGAAAAACTCCTTGTTTTCTCATTCTTAACTAAACATTTTTGTAAGGGCAGAAAAAGAAAGGTAAAACATTCAAAATAAAGGAATCTGTCTGAATGTTTCAAGAGTCAAAAGGAATTAAGTGTTACTTTTTCTTCATTAAGAGATGGAAAATCTTGCAGCTGAATTAGTGGGCTAGGATCTTGCATTTCGTTCCGTCTCAGCCAAGCATTCCCGAACTAATCCTCTAGCATGAATAATGCCTGCAAAAGAACGGGACATACTTTAAATCATCTCATTCAGGTCACACTTGCCGTGACAGTCCAGAGAAAGGCTGATGTGTTTCTGTCCCAAGTTGCCACGGCTACCACAGCACCCTCCAAAAAGGGAGAGCTCCCTCGCTGCCCATACATCACCTGCTGCTCAACAAGCTGGCTTTATAAACTGAAAAGAGACTAAACCAGGAATCAGAGCATGGTAACGTGTAGGTCTGCAGGGTGACAGATCTCTCTTAATGTGCAGTGCAGGCCTATTTACAATAAGAGACTTAACTAGAAGGAAAAAAAAAATTACCTACCTGGGAGTTATTTTGCTACAGCGGAGTGAAAAAAAAATTAGGAAGTTATTTGGGGAGTCATTTTAGCAAGCTCTGAAAAGTCTTAATACCTTGGAATAATTCAAAATCCAAGCCTTCGTAATACTGCTTAAACACAAGTTGTGTCTCTTGTAAGAGTAAGAAGAAATTTTTATGCTATGTGCAAAAAGTTACCTCCTAACACTGGCTCAGCTCCCAGTGTAAATCATCACCACTTTACATGCTGCCGTATCTGCTCAGCTGATAGACATAATGTGGAATTTTCCACTACGAGTCCTGTTGCTCTGAGTTCCAGCAATCTGGACCTTGATTCCTAGTCCTGGAACTAAATCTAGATTCACGTTCACAGAGCTGCTGAAAGAAGAGAGCCCGAGATTCACTGTAACATGAGAGACAGACAGGTTTTTCTGCAACAAATGAGGTTCTGTTTTACTGACAGGATAAGACGATTCCTCTGCTCAGTCATGCTCCGTAACAAGGTGGAGAAAGGACAATACGGCAATAGATGAGGTTTAATCTCTATTTAGAGAGAACGGATTCTGTTTCTAGCAGGCTCCTAGCCCTGATCACAGCAACAGCCTTTGCATCCGAGGAGCACTGCTTTGGGACCTGATGGGTGCAAGGCTTTGCAGAGGGTTAAACGGACAGAGACAAGTAAAGCTGCATCCTGCAGCTGTGGGATGCAGAAACGCACACTCGGAGTCGTGCATTAGACCTGGGTCTGGTGGCAGGATGCCCAGTTTATGCAGCAGAACTCCCCTGAATTATGTAGAACGCTGGGAATTTGGCCAGTTTTAGAGGTCAGTAGCCTCTGTGCTTAGGAGCGGGTGGAGCTGGGGACAGGGACTTTATTCAGGAATAACCTCCCCAAGGCTGCGGTCACAGGGCCACCCTCAGTCACTTCTGCTCTCACACTTGCACATGCTCTTTCAGCCATGAGGCTCCCAAAATGGAAAGAAAGCTACGTTTGTGACCAAAAGATGGCAGCAGAAAGTACTTCTTTGGGATTTTTTGCAACATTGGCAAGTCACAGCAGCAGAACAAACTAAATACTCACTGCAAGAAGCAGCAAGACAACTCCTCCCCGAGCTGAACCATGCAGGTTCAGAGAGCATCTGCGTCTCTCTCAAGTCGTCCCCATTAGCCCATTGCCATTCATGATCTATTAATACTGACTCAGGCAATGCAATAAAGAGAGACTCCAGCAGCATTGATTTTAGCTGGGCCAGATTCCACTTACCACTCATCAGCAGACTTTATTGCATCCTTTCCCAGAACAGCTACTAGTCATTTTATTGCATGTCACGGCAGATATATTACTCTCCCATAATGGTTGAGCCTTAAATAAAGCTTTGTAGTCTTGGGTAAATGTGAGGGGGATTTGCAAGGTGCTGAAGTTAGTCTGTTACAGTAACATTTCCCACTCGGGGCTGAATGCATCAGCCAAACTCAGTGCGAGGACCAAGGAAAGGAAAGGAATGGTAACGAGATTTTACTGGCGAAGGACAGGAGCACCAGCACAGCTGCTGTCAGTGGCCTTCAGGGTCACTTCGGGAGCTGGAGCAGTGGAATGTCCCACTGCTCCTTCAGAAATATCCCTGCACGTCCCCTGCAGAGGACAATGTCGAGCTGATGTCAGCGGTGGGGCACGCGGGGTTTCTTTTACACTGCAAGGCAAGGGCATTTATTACCCCTTTTAGCTGACGAAGCAAAGCTAAAGAGACCTCATCAGCCAGGCCTAAAAGCTTCCACCTCCCTTACTCTTAATGACATCCACTTGCCACAGGTCGTGGAGCCCCAGCAGCCCAAGGTGTGTCTGACAGCTCGGTCCTCTGAGCAGCCTTCCCTGACAACCTGTTGTTTTACTTTTGCAGCTCTTCCCTCCACCAGCCTTAGTGTGAAATACCACAACGTCCTTAGGGAAAATGCACTTTAGTAAAGACTCTCGTGTCAAGTAGATGGGAGATGTATGTCAGAAGAAGTAAACAATGCCTGGTTGTGTGTTTTGGCAAGAAAAGGGAACTGAAAGGGCAAATAAGTCACCAGGAACCTCGAAGCACTTATCCATTAGACACCTTAAGGGTTCTAAAATAAGGTTGGAATTATTAACTGAAACTTGTGCAGATAAAACACATTTGGTCACTGATGTATCTATCGAATACAGCATGAATAGAGTATCCCAAGGTTTTACCTGCTTGTTAATACACCTTTAAATGTTAATACACAGTTTAATGATGAGCTCAAGACAGCCATCTCCTTTCAAAGGAAGCAGCTGTCATGAAGCTGTATACAAGCAGTCAGTACACAAACTGTAGGTGACTATTTTTTTTCAAATAAATTTAAACATTACCTCTTTTTAGTCTCTCCATCGCGCTTTTACTCCCAGCATATGTGGGTCTAATCTCTTTTCCTAATTCTTCTATGATAGCTAGAAGTTCTGCATATTTGCTTTGTGGTACTTGACTGCTGCTGGTACCCTGTAGTTGAAAATAGATTAATCTCAATTAAATACTGCTAAAAACAAAACAATTACAACAAACGGCAACTGGAAATTCACAGAGGACCAGAAATAGCCCTGGAAGCCACTTTTTAAAGGTTTATTATATAAACATGATTTTCTTTTCATGGTTGCTGTTACAGCTGGATGCAATGCTATGTGCCCTTCAAAACTCAGGATCAACTTGGAGGATGCAGCTGCAAGGCTGGGACCTCAGGTGAAACAGAAGTGCAAACAGTCCTGCAAGAACAGCGAACCGAGAACTGCTTACTTAACTCTGCTTCTGATTTTTCAGTGTGCAGGTGTACGTTTTGTGGAGAAGTTAGCTAGGCAGGGAGTGAGAAGCAGATAAAACAAAGCTGCCTGTATGTTAAGGGAAACCCTATTACCAGTTAAATACCTTTTGCAAAGTTTACTGCTGGATTCCTGAAGCAGGACTGTCTGTGACACACACTTCATGAGAGGAAATTTTAGAGTATATATTTGCTGAAGAAAAACAGTATAGAAATACTCATCTTTAAAACACGTTAGAGCCCTTCTCTCAGAACATAAGACATCCTTCCCCTGTGACTCATGAGATGGGACTAACAGTTAATTAGTAACCAATCTCACCCAGCGCTCTGCTTAGTCTAATTTGATCCCAAGACGTATGCGACGAATCAGTCTGCCATTTGGGTTTGATTTCAGGTCTTGGTGGGCGGGAGGAACACCTCAGATTACAGACCACAGTCCATGGCACTACGCAAACACAGGGTCAGTGATCTGATTAAAGGAAAACACGGCGCAGAGCTGTACCTGCATCCCTTGTGTATAGCCTAGAGATGGGGGTCCGTAGTCATTTATGAGCTGTCTATACTGCGCAGATGTTGCCATACTTGTGGAGGGAGAGTGAACACTCCCAGCTGTAGAGAGAAAAGAAACAAAATCTGTTACTATCTAGAGATTAATTAGTCTGTTACATCAGGACACATTTTAGATCCCTTTTTTCTCAAACTGTGACCGCTCACCTTTGTCCAAGCCTGCTAATGCCATTTCAGAGCGACAACGTTGGCCAGGAAGAGAACGGGTCCATTAATGCTCCCCTAACGTTTGCTGTGCATTTGAAAATAGCACAGCCTGCAACATTATCAGTGAAAATCGGTTGCCTAAAAGTCAGAGTGCAGCACGACAGGTTGTTCTGCCTAGACAAACCATAAATATTAAGGAGCCCTATTTTTGCATATATACATTCCACGCAGATGAGTCGAATATACGGTGCTATTTTTACTGTTCCAGAGCAAGTTATCTGAAAGTAATTTTGCAACTCAAAGTGCCATCACATGGTCAATGCAAGTGACCCTCAGTACTATTTTCAGCCGATCCCAAAACTACTCATAGGGAATAGTCCGTCAAGGTGTATCTGATCTGCTGCTGCCGTTGTTCCTGGTGTCTCATACACCCAGCCACGATCACAGCACCCAGCGCCCTGCCCGGAGCCAGGCATTTACGGACTGGATCCTTCTACTTCATCCCGCGTCACCGCCCACAACTGGAAGGAGGAAACTGGGTCATTGCCATTGCTGGGTCTTCTCCCCCACCCCTCCAACAGTAAGAACCCAGGTCTGAGAAGCAACTCTTAGATGTTTCTTAGGGGGTGTAATTAGGCGCCCACTTCACACCAGTGCCGTGGACCGCGCACTCAGACGAGGGAGCATCGCCCCACTCAACGCGTTCACTCCTGCAGCTGCAGTGCCCTGCGCCCACCGGTGCTGCCTGTGGGCACAGACGCAGACACAGACACAGACCGCCTGCTGTCTGGAAATCCTTCCCCTTGCAAACTTCTCTGCTGACAACTCCCAACTGTCTTTCCTATGAGGAGCAGACCTCATTTACCAGCCTTCCTTTAAATCTGATGTAAACCGGTGCTAAAAGTCACTGAGGCTCAAAACTATGTAAATCTCTAGCTTTGTTTTGAAGGTGCAAGTGATTTCATTCATATTTTCCCTTCACTACAAAAAGAAAAAGCCAGCAGTTACGCTGTAAAAAAACACAGCTGAACACAGTGGAACAGACTCTTGTCAGCTGGGAAGTCTCTTTCCTCTTCAGAATTAATCACAGGACATCGTTTCAGTGCTGTCTTCATTACAAGAAGAGAATGAGGTCCTAATTTTAACTAGTTAACCAGATGTGAAATTCTACAACAGATACATTGGGCTGGTCGCTAGGTCACCTTAAACAAGCAAGATTTCTCTTTGTCTTTAACTAAGCTGCTAAATTTTATGGTGTTACAGCCTACATTTCCATTGCTAAGGTTTCACAATTTGCTCCAGCACAGTAAAACCCAAGAAAACTGAATACCACACCCGTGGATTATGGCACTGTGAAGGAAGACCACAGCTGTCAACTGTTCTCTCAATTAGTTCTTCACATTATCAGCTCCAAATACACGCACGATTGTAAGATTTCTGCTCAGTCAGTACTCCAAATCCAGATGACTGGATTTCAGCAGCTATCAAACACGACACAACAGCAAACCACATCTTTCCTCCAAGGACTTTGAAATGCTTCAAAAACATTAATGAGCCCCTTGTGCTGCAAGGTAAGAAGGTTTAATTACCTCAATTAAGCAGAGAAAGACTTAAGCGATTTTTCCTCATGTACAATAAAACGAAAGACTTGTCCTGCAAAGACTTGTTCCTGGGCTGTTACTGCAAGCAGTCACACACAAGACTTGGGAGCTTCAAACTGGTGCAGAATTACAGCAAGGGCTCTGACGACCAGGCTCAGGAACCCTGCTGTACCCACTGAGCAAACCTTACCTGCAGCCCATGAAAAACAACATAAACCAATTTATCACCACCGTTCAGGTCAATGATAATATAGTACAGAAAATCTAGTGATTGTTTCAGATTATGGTGATTGAAGCAATGACACATGCTTGGTCTGTACGAGGTAACACAGCAGGGAACAATTCTATGTCTAAACAGAAAAGAAAACCCTACGAGAAATGCGATGTCCCCAGACAAAGCAGCGAAACCAGGGGCTGACCGAGAAAGTTTCGCAGCTGTGAAAGCCCGTGGACAGCAGTGGTGTCAGCGTGGGACCCTGCATCCAGCGTGGCTCGGTCAACACCGAACGACAAAACCAAACAAGACCTTGCAGCAGCCCCCTACGAGTGGGAGCTGGAGCCGGAGCATGGCTCCCGATGTGAATCAGCAGCTGGATGTGAACGAGCAGCGAGATGTGAATCAGCAGCCAGATGTGAATCAGCAGCCAGATGTGAATCAGCAGCCAGAGGAGCGGCTTGGCTTCGCCAGGGGTGCAGCATCGCCGGCTGCGCCCGCGCCATGTGCAGCGCTGAGAGCAGACACTAGAGGCCATCGCTGAGTGCAGCATGCCCTGCCAAATGACAGATCCTGGTAACCATGGTGAGTTTACCCGTTTCTTTGCAGTCTGCATCAAAAATGTAATAAGACATAATGCCATGCGCCGACCACTTTATCAGCAGCAGCAGGCCCGGAGAACAAAGAAAAGGATTTGACTTGGCTGCGGTGCCAGGCTCCACACACCCATGGCAGAAGTTGTGCCAGTCAAACTCAGCTGGAGAGGGGGACAAAATTAAAAACACTTCATTTCACCTCAATTTACTATTATGCAATCATGAAAATTAAATTAATTGTGGGGGTATTAGTATCTCACGGGGTAACGGACCCAGAGCTTTCTGACCTATCACTTTGTATGTTAATCTCAAGGAGAAGCCCTGAGTCTTGGATGACTATTACTCAATTAACCCAAAATACATCTGCATGTCTGAACACCCTGTACACCTCAGATTAAAAAAAAATACTACTAATAATCACCAGCTATTGCTATTACAGTTAGCAAGAGAAATTAGGCCAGCAAGTCTCCCAGTCAATACCCAGTCAAAAATCAGTGTGATGATTAGGTATTCACTGGAGAGAAAAAAAGGAGGGGGATCTAAATTGGGGCTTGCGCTCTCAGTTAAAATGACAATGGAGACAAGACAGTTCAGAACTGACAGAACCGAAAAGGGAGTGTGCTTGTACTGAATGTAAGTGACACCCTGCATCACGTCCCAAATTGTCTTAGTGCTTGCTGCTGTTTAAAACCTCAGTTAATATACACACTTTCCTCCCTCCACTTTCCTCATTAAATGTGCACAATCCCTTTTATGTACCTATTTATTCCTGTTCCAACAATGTCTTTTATTTCTGTGTTCATACAGAAGACTGCCAGGAGCAATTTCCCCAACTAAAATACAGTGATTTTCCTGTTAATCAATATTAATCTTTATTAATTGAGGGGGGGCGTCTAACAATACGGCAATGAGATTTTTTGTGTCAAAATCTCTTCCTTCCAGTGATGTCTCTGAGCCCAAATTAACACCCTGGGAGACAAAGGATCTCAAATCAATCGCTGTTTCCCTAAACTCCCACTGACAAGCAATCTTCCAATTAATTTCTGATAGGTTTGCAGGGATCCCTTCACCTCCTCTGCTAAAGTCTCCAAGCCTGAGCAGCAATACCAGTTTGCTGGTCTAAGTTTTAATTCCTTACTCTGTTGTTGGAAAAATAACGGAGGGGCAGCTTGCTGTGCACCCTGCGAGGACGCGGAAGGAGCAGCAGCGCCGGGGGTGCTCTCACCTGGTCCCAGCAGGGGACACGGCTCAACGGCCGCCCCGTTTCAGTCCCACACACGGCAAAGTGAAGTCAGGAGCAGTTACTCACCTCCCTGAGTTACTCACGTAGAACTGACTGAGAGCCAGCCCCGCTGGATCTCTGCTTCTCTACCACCCTGTACTTCGCAAGGTGCTGTCAAACGGCACAGGTAAACCCGTGCCGTGTTACAAACTCTACACATGAACACGACAGCACGCGAGAGGGGACGCACCTGGGGCTGACCCAAGATACGTGGTACGGTCTGTGGAACCTCCCTGCTTCTACCTCTACCTCAGTCTCCAAACAGCAGCCGTGGTGTTTCGGCTGACCACAGCAGTATTTGGTTCCTCAGCCCTCCACGCACTCGGGCTTGACTTCACCAAGAGCTGCCTGCCGTCCACGGACACCACGTGCACATCCACACAAGATCTACTGCACAGCCAAGCCACACACTCAACTCTACATGTTTGCCAACCCAGAGCGAAAACAGACAGCTCCTGTTTCCCCCAGCATTCCAAACATTTTTTTTTCATTTAAAATAATGGACCCCGTTCTCATTTGCACAAAAAATTCCTTACAGCACTGGCTGTGAAAGTTGTATTTTCACCCACTATTTCCCCCTTAAACAGCCCTTTTGGTAGAAACAGACCTTTCTTTGAATAAAACTATTTCCTTTTAAAAAAACCCAGTGCGCACACACATAAATACGCTCTCAAAAACCAGGACATTCTTTATCTTAACAGCCAGAGGCCTTGCTCTTTTGATCTGTCACACTCCAGGCCTTTCCTCTGGTACTCTCGTCCTATTTCATCGTCCCATGTGGATAACGGTCATGTTTTATGTCTCCTCTTCCTATCCCCCTGCCTTTATATATATATATATTTTTTTTTTTAAACTCAGCAAAACAAAAGACAGTCACTTGGGCTCCCCACCATTCTGGTTTTTCCAGCTTAAGACACAGGCTGTTTCTACACTGGCAAGTTATCTGGCACAAGGGGAAAAGTGTTGGGTACACATACACCACATGGATTTGGGGTGACGGGGGATTACTTACCACTAAATTTTAGTCTGGTCCCCCAGCCTAAGTGTCTGCATCGTGGGTATGGTTCAAAGCTGCCCAATCTTTGGCTCGGATCCTCGTGTTTCCATTAAAAGGGATGGAGCATCAGTGTTGCACAACTGGAGCAGAGCTTCTGGTTTACTTTTCTCCAAAAGGAAGCAAATTAGCATGAACCAAAACCTCTCTGCAACTCAGCCAACAGGTGCTGGGTGGGGACAGGGAGATTTGGTGACTGCAAAAACCAGTGTTGCTCTGGAGCTAAACACCCAGGTAGACAAAGCCACAAATGCCGGTTTTCTGAATGTCCAACCAAGTCCACTTGAAAACTGCTGATTTCGAAACATGCGTAGCATGCGGTTTTTCAGATAATTTTAACTTCACGTGGACTTCAAGACATGAGAGAACCAGCAAATTTCAGTTTGGATCGGAGTGGGGAGTACACTTCCTAGAAATGATCCCCTCTGCTAAGGTACGAACGCTCTGCTCTCCGCTCTGCCTACAAACAGTATTCTTTCCACTACTCCCACTCTAAAAACCACCTCTCGATACGGACAGCAATATCAAACATAAGCTGTCTCTGTCAAGGGCGACAAGCAAGCCATTTGCTCATGCAAGCCTGCACTGCAGTCTTAACAAGATCAGGAACGGCCCAGTGCGCTTGGTATCATTTATCAGGACTGAATTAAATCAGTCTCTCCGGTTGCAAGCTCCAGCCCCAGTCAGGGGAATTATTTTCATTTCAGCTCTCAGTGGAAATTTGCACTTTTCCCCAAGAAACCCGTGGTGCCTGTGCAGTGCAGCCGGTGCAGCCACAGCCCCGCTGGTCCTCGGCCGCAGCAGTGCCCGCCGTGCAGGCCCCTGTTCACGTGGAGCCACGACGCAGCTCCCTCCCATCACAGGCTGCTGCAAAATTTGTTTCTCCAGACCCTACGTGCAACAGTTTTTAAACTTTTATTACAAGAACAGGCTTTTGTCTTGAAACTTGACATTTCTGCAAGGATTAGAATAAAACCAAAGGAAAATCGCAAGCTGTTCCTGCTGGCTTCTGTATCTTAAAACTACTTTTCTATGACCTATGCATATCTGAATAGGAATGCTGGTGAATATTCACAGAGCCAGAAAACACATGGAAACAAGAGGAAAGACAAAGTACAGAGCAGTTCACAGCTGGTGTAAATCTCTCTTGTTCCACTGAAGTCAATGGAGATGCTCTACTTCACCTCAGCTCAGCAGCTGGCCCTCTTACAGAGAAACAGTTAAACAATATGAAACACAAGATGGATGAGGAGGAAACAACTTCACAGGATTCAATACAATAAGCAAGAAAAGACCAACAAATCAAAACATGGCTGTTAGAAGGGTAACAGAGGTCCCCCCTGGGACAGGTGAGGCTGGGAGGTAGAGCCACAGCATCGCATCCCTAACAGGGTCCCTTTTTACCACCCAGGCAGAGAATGTTCTGGTGCAGGACACTAAATAGGGCTCCCCAAGCACAGTCTGGGATGCTACACACCAAGCCCAATTCCCACCAGGGTCCTCCAGGAAGGTGATGATAATTCAGACTAAACACTGCAAGCCCACCTGTAGACACCCTGGGCCAAGTATCACCATGGACCCGGGCAACGGGGAAGAGGAGCAGGCACCAATTCTGCTGTGCCAACACATTCCTCTCCCCTCAGCCTGGTGTGAGCAGAGGAGTCGGCATCCGGATGCTCCCAGCATCCTGAGCCACTTGTGGAGCAGCTGCCTCATCCTCACGGAGGCTTCCTGCCCCTATTTCCTGCCCCCAAAGCAGCCCCTCTCTCTCAGCACTTCAGTCCAGGTTTCTGAGTCCCAAACGTGCTCCCGTGCAAGAACAGAGCATGGTCACCCACCAGCCACAACTGCTTCATCTCTCTGATCCACTCAGTGCAGTTTCAACATGATTTTTCAGAGTGGCCCCTCTCAGCCTGAACTTGAAAGGAGTCAGCTCTGCAGCAAGGATGCAGCTCCGGGAGCCGAGCCGGCACTGCCTTTCCAAATACTTCTGCACCAAAGCCCTGCACTGCAGGAAAGCAGCATTATCTCCCAGAGGAAAATCCCTGTGAGATCCACAGCTGCCCAGAGCCCTTCATCGGCCAAGACCAAAATATTCAGCATTCATACAGAGAGGCTTCTGCAGGGCTGATTTCAGGCCAAAAGGGACAGATTTCCTGTTTTCCTCTCCTCTGCAGGATGGGGAGGGGGGTGGTCCTTCACCCCAGGTTTGGAAGCAAACCTAGGATTTCTACTTCTGGCTGGGGTGGGGGGGGCATTTAATTTAAGCACAATAGAGAAGCAATCTCCTTCAACTCAGAATTAAGCTCCAGAAAGGAGGGGGCCATTTGCAGTCATATCACTCTGAATGCGATATGTGCAACTGCAAGGACTGCTTTGTCTAACTCCCTTGGCCTTAGGCCACGGTGCTGGCAATACCACTAGCGAGAGGAAGAGCTGGTGTGTGAGGATAATGGCAGAAGACAGGGAGGGAAGAGAGAGCCCATTTTGGATTCAGAGGAGGACGTGCTTTCATTGAAAAGATTCTGGGGGTGTCGAGGATGATCCGAACTCAGACGAGAGGACAACTTAGACAGGAATAGTTCCAGCATGACAGCGAACTGCTGCTAACTTGCCATTACGAGGAAAAAAGAAGCCGAGGGGGTTGCGGGAGGGGGGGGGCAGGAAGAGAAAGATAAAACTGCATGAAAGAATCTAAAACGCTGCTCGCAGCCGGAGCATTTGAAAGCCCACAGACACGGCAGCAAGAGGAACGGCGGCA